TAAGCATGCAAGTAGTTCAAGTATGAAGGCACACAAGTCACACAAGTGAAGCCCTTAGAGTTTAGGCCAGCATGAGGTCTAGGTATTACCCTCTTGAAGTTGGTGGTTTCAACCTGTCCTATTAGAAGTAACCGGGTTCTAAGGGGTCCCAATATCACGGGATTGCTTTCATTATTCATCGTTTCGATTTAGCCACTGAACTGGCGACCGAAATATTCCAGGAAAGCAACCCTCAATTGAGTGTAGTATCGAGTATCAACCAACCTCGGACTGCACCAAAGTCAGTTATCTCACTACCCTAAAGAGGCCAAGATAGTTCAATTAAGGTTCCTAAGGTCTGTTGATGCTTCACGACACCACGCGGAGGCCCCGTACTCTCCTTGACTGAACTCAAGGGTTACCGGTACACACCAAAGTGCCACATCAACGTAGCAGACTGTTTCAACCATGTCGGTATACCCCGCACAGTTCCCTCACAGCCTTGTTGCTACTTTCTAAGAAAGGTATCCCCAGATCCGGGTTAGGATCTATAGAACTCCCAAGCAACCCACAATTATAAAGCAAGCAAAGAAGACAATTGAAAACATAGTTATGACCTAGCCCTAAGGTACACCTCACTTTAAGTTTAAGGGTCCCCAGCAGAGTCGCCAGTTCTGTGATCGGTGGATCTGGAACTGATTGTTTAACGCTGGTTCGCGAAATGTCGCGGAAGCAAGAGTCGCCACCGTCTTTTATTTTCTCCAAATGGAAAGGACAAAAGCACAGAAAAATTCCTTATAGAGATTGCACTCGGTTCGGGAGGTAGGTTATAGAAAGGGAAGGTGTTAGCACCCTTTCTATCCATGGTTATCCATGGGCTCTTAGATACTTGCTCAATGTGTTTTCAAAAATGTTTGCTTGCTTTTCAATTGTGGGTTTTAAAAAAGTTTCTTTGAAAAATTTCAGTTCGACTCGTGCGTCAGAGTGTTTGAAAAATTGCTTTGAAAGCTTTTGAAAAAGTGTCGGTGTGAAAAGGTTTTTTTGTTTGTTTTTGAAGAGAGCAAGTATCTACGAGAACCTACCTACCCTAAGGAATTCGTCTGTGTAAATGTCCTTTAAAGTAGTGCCATCCCACCATTGAAAGGTAGGTAGCACCACCGTTGGAGGTGTTCGGGTCAATTCGAGTTTGTAGGGACATGGTGATCACCAGAGCAATGGGAAGACACCTTAGAAGCTACCCTCATTCCAGGTTCCCGGATCATGAGGACTTACTAAGACATCCTCTACTCGACGATCACCTTTCGAGGCAAGGCAACAGTGAGGCGTACCCTAGGGGTGGTGTGTGCGATTCGTGTGTCGTTTTCATTTGTATTTGTCTTGTCATGTTAAAGTGTTCTACGCTTGTTTTTATTATGGCCATTCATTCTTGCATGCTTTGTTTAACAGTTAAATGTTGCAGAAAAGTAAATTCTAAAACTATTACAAATGGCGCGGGTCCACATCGCCAAAATTAAACCAGACCCGATTTGACGGAAAATAAATAAAGCAAATAAAAGTGCGAAAAGTAAATGTTACAACGCTTTGGGAGAGGTACATAATTAATTAAGCGAAATAAAATAAATGTGCGAAATTAAACAATTAAAAATATGGGCGTTGGACCCTTTTGCAAAAAATCAGAATTACATGAATTAATAAAAAAATTAAAATTAAAAGAAAATGTTTTTTTGGGTATTTTTAGTATTTTGGGAATTTAATGAGAAAAAAGAATCAATTTCAATTAAAATAAAAAGCTAAACCTAATTCTAATTGTTTTTAAATTTATTGTGAAAGTATTAAAATTTAACCTAAATTAAACCTAAGTTTTTTTATATACAATTTAATTATAAAAAATAA